CTTCACTTATCTAGAGAGTCTCATCAGTGCTGACGGCCTGGTGACTGATGAAATCTCAGCACGGATGTAGAAGGCTCGATTAGCTTTTGCAAACCTGCGTCACTTATGGCGTAGGCGTGATATCCATTGGCAAACCAAAGGACGAGTGTACTGCGCAGCAGTACTCTCCGTTCTCCTATATGGCTGTGAAACATGGCCGTTAAGAGTAGATGTTCGTTGGTTACTAGTATTCGATCGTAGATGTTTAAGAAGCATTGCTCGTATATCGTGGGACAACCGAGTGATCAATGCTGTCGTTAGGAAACGGGTACTAGGTAAGAAGGGCAGATCAATGGATGAAGTATTGAAACTTCATCAGTTGAGGTGATTGAAACATATGTTACCGATGCCCAACCACCGACTGCCCCGTCGAGCTTTGTTTTGTAGTGTAGGAACAGGTTGGAAGAAAGCTAGGGACGGTCAGATAAAAACATGACAGAAATCCATGACGTTATTGACAAGTGGACTGAGTCATGTTGGAAGATGTAGACTACCTGGTTGGGGTTCGCGAGACGATAGTCACCAATGCTTAGAGACCTTGAATGACATGGATCAAAATCGTTTGCAATGGCGCAAGTGCATCCGGTCGTTGCGCTCTCTCAAATCCTAATCTTCTGAATTCGTGAGCACCTCTACCTTTGTCTTTCTAACCTTATCTCACTGAATCATACTTCTTGAATAATATCTTCAAACCCTAGTCTTCTTCATTACCATTAATACCTCCTCTACTATTTTTATCACTAGGGGATTTGATTTGACATTTAAGTCTCTGTACTGATATGGTATGGCAGCAACATGAATTTATGTACATACTTACGAAGTTCTACATTGCAACTGACTGACTGACTATAGCAATAAACAATCCATTTTTTAGATCTACGATAATGTACACGTCTGAGTAGGCTGTTTTGTCATACTACTCAAATAATATTTAACCTGGAAAGTAGGTAAAATTAAGTAGTAGTTGAAAACTATTGATTTAGTAAGTAAAAAAATATTAATAATCAATTTATTAACTATTCATCACTACAAAGATTAGATGATACACATTGAAACTTACAGCCGCAGGAATCACTTGATATTCAGCAGCAAATAAATAAACTGGTGGAGCTGTCGGTGTAGTACCATATAAGAAACCAAATGTAGAATAACGTAATGTTTCATTTGCTAATGTAATAGGCATAATATGAACAATCAGTTCACGTGTAATAAAAGGAACCACTAAGCTATGATTGAATAAAAGGTGTAACAAGCAACAAAGAAAAAAAACCAATCAATCAATCAATCAAAGATAAAAAAATATTTCATTTGTGATGCTTCAAATTTGCATGATAAGGTTGTGGAGTTGAGTTGAATTACTCAGTGAAATCATGAAACGATGATCAATGTTCAGTCATTCAGTCAGATGCAACGTAGAACTTCGTACGTATGTACATCAGTTCATGTTGCCATACCACATTAGCACACAGAGATGTAATTGTCAATTCAAATCCAATAGCAGTAGAGGTATTCAAGGTATTAGAAGTAATCGGAGAGGTTAGCATTAGAAGATATTATTCGAGAAGTATGATTTAATGAGAAAAGTTTAGAAAATCAAAACTAGAGGAGTTGAAGAATCCAGAAGATTAGGATTTGAGAGAACACAAAGAATAAATGCACCGGTGCCATTGCAAACGGTTTTGAGCCATGTCATTCAGGGTCTCTAAACATTGAGTATTATCATCTCGCGGACCCCAACCAGGTAGTCGACAACTACCGACATGGCTAAGTCCACTCGTCAATGACTTCAAAACGATCAACGTTAGACCACCATTAGAAATCTTGAAAGCACTGGACGGCCGTATCGTTCTAGTATGGGACTCATCAGCAATGCGCATCCGCGAATCCTGCATCTCGCATGATTCGAACCCAGAACCTTCGGACTTGCGCACGAACGCCTAACCTCTGGACCACTGGGCCGTTATCTAACGGTGTTAATATCTAATTCTGATTGATTCACGGTCATAAGCAATCTCATCCACTGTCCTCGGTGAGCACTACTTAACACCTTAACAGGATTGAACTCTACTGGTCACGATGCCTCACTAGAACTCGGAGATTCCTCACGCAGTTAGTCTCTAGTGAGGCAGGTAATTTGCATTATGGGGTTGTGAAGATTGTTGAGTTACTTATTGAAATCGTGGTTAGCTAGTGGTGGTTAGTTAGTTACATAGTTATATACAAGAAACAACATGGAATATGTATTACATTGGTTCGAACGGTCACATTTCATTAACATAATGAGATAATATTGTCAAAGCGAATTTTAGTGTAGTAGAGGTTGTAACAGTATAAGGCAATCAAAAAGATTAAGTATAGAAAATAAGATTCAGGAATAAAGTATGGATTAATAGAATAAAAATAAATTTATAAATTTAGAATCTCACAGACGAAAAATATTAGGTATACTTGCACAATTGTGAACGACTTTGAACAATTTCATTAAAAGTTTCTAACTATTAGTTATAATTAGCATAACCAGGCAGTCTGCATCTATCTACATAGCTCAATCTGACAGACAATGTCTCCATTAACTGATGTTGTGTCTTAATCTGGTTGTCCCTAGCTTACTTCCAACGTTTTCCCACATTAGCGGTCACCAAGAGTCAGGGGTAAGCGGTGAATAGGTAGGATAAGTAATGAATATTCTAAGGATCTTAGTCGATAAATATTCAATACCTTCACAACTGATTTGATATCTTGTATCTTACTTCAGAACTGTTAACTTAATGATCCCAGCAATATATGAACCATGCTTTGATGGTATCGATGAGTGAATACTAGTTTAGTAATTTTTCTATATTCATTTGAAAAGGTAGATAATCTAATCAAGAAACAATGATCACAATGAAATTTACAATAAAACAATTTAATTAAGGTCAATAACAATCAGTCATGATCGAGGTTAACAGATCAAAGCTACGGGTCAAACGTGGAGAAATCCGAATACTCTTCACTTCTTTTATTTGAAGTTTATGTTGCTGATGATGTTGTTGTTCAGAAGAACAAGAAGAAGAAGAAGAAAAATGAGAAAGCACCACAACCAAACCACATCCAGCTAAGAGAACGAAACACCACCACAGTTAAGATATACTTAGTATAGTATAATGATGCTTATTGTTGTTCAAAGTGTCATAGATAACAAATTCTGAATGAGCTACTCTCTCAATGTTTCAGATAAATTGATGGTGATAAATGAAGTTAAATATGAAGGATCGTTTTACATTGTATCTATATACTAGGGTTTCCAATTATAGTTGAATAGAATTATTCAGATTTGGTTCAACTTATCACAAGACAGAATGGGACAACCGAGTGAGCAACGCCTTTATTAGGAAATGGGTGCTAGGTAAGAATGGCAGATCAATAGATGAAGTATTGAAACTTCAACAGTTGAGGTGGTTGGGACATGTGCTGCGTGTATGCCTAACCATCGACTGCCTCGACGAGCTTTGTTTTGTAGTGTAGGAATAGGTTGGAAGAAAGATAGGAGCGGCCAGAACAAAACATGGCAGAAATCCATGAAGTCATTGACGAGTGGACTTAGCCATGTCGGTAATTGTCGACTATCTGGTTGGGGTCCGCGAGATGATAATAATCGATGGTTAGATACCCTGAATGACATAACTCAAAATCGTTTGCAATGGCGCCGGTGCATTTATTCTTTGTGTTCTCTCAAATCCCAATCTTCTGGATTCTTCAACACTTCTAGTTTTGACTTTCTAACCTTTTCTCACTTAATCATACTTATTGAATAATATCTTCTAATCCTAACCTCTCGGATTACTTCTAATACCTTTTATTACCTCTTCTAATATTGGATTTGAATTGACAATTACATCTGTGTGCTAATGTAGTATGGCAACATGAACTGATGTACTTACGTACGAAGTTCTACGTTGCATCTGACTGACTGAATGTCAGCAGTAAATTATGATAAATAAACAAGACTTTGTAATATGTACTACAAAATACTAATTCAGAATTAATTATTTAGTGAATTTAAAAAAAATTCAACTTTCAATGTACAGATCAAAAGGTTCGAAACATGTTTCATCTACTTTAGTCTTAGTAGTCAGTCCGTTACAACGTAGAACTTCGTACGTACGTACGTACATCAGTTCAAGTTTCCATACCACACTAGCACAGAGACGCAATTTTCAGTTCAAATCTCAAAGTGGTAGAGATAGTAGAAGTATTAGCGGCAAAGGAGAAGATTGGGGTTGGAAGATATTATTCAAGAAGTATTATTCAGTGAGATAACTTTAGAAAGAGAAAGATAGACGAGACGAGGAATTCAGAATATCAGAAAACACAAAGAGTGGATGCACCTGCGCCATTGCAAACGGTTTTGAGCTATGCCATTGAAGGTCTCTAATCATCGGTTCCTATCGTCTCTATGACCCCAACCAGGTAGTTTGCATTTACCAACATGACTCAGTTCATTTGTCAGTGACTTCATGGATTTCTGCCATGTTTTGGTCTGGCCGCTCCTATCTTTCTTCCAACCTATTCCTACACAACAAAACAGCTCGTCGAGGAAGTCGGTGGTTAGGCATACGTAACATATGTCCTAACTACCTCGACTGATGGAGTTTCACTATTTAGTCTATTGATCTGCCATCCTTACCTAGGACCCGTTTCCTAACGTCAGCATTTCTTACTCGGTTGTCCCAGGATATAAGAGTAATGCTTTGGAGACACCTATGATCGAAAACCTGTAACCTACAAATATTTTCTACTCTGACTGGCTATGTTTCGCAGCCATAATGTAGGACAGAGCGAACTGCTGGTAGTATCACTAGCTATTTCTTACAAACAGCTTGTCTAAACGTTGAGTTCATTAGCCTGTAGTTGACAGACAGTTCACAATAATCAATTATTTACTTGCTAGTAACTAGCTAACTTAGACAATTCTTGTAGTTTCGGAGAGAACAGGTAACCAATGCAGTTTACTAAGAATGAGACAGGTATTATGAATGATAACCGATTAAAATCGTGAAATATCATGAACTGACTGAAACTGGGAATGTTAATCAGTGATTTAAACTTTATAATCTTGAATGAGCGTATTCATCGCGAGACCTGAGTGTATGTGTGTGTATACAGTGATATCGAGAAGTTTTATGCAAGAACGAATGCGACGTTCAATACTTACCTGTTTTCAATGATTGTTTTTACTAACAGAACGGCGTTTTTACTTTGACTAATAATTATTTACTTATTATTTTCTCATTTTTTATTAGACTCACTGCATTCTTTTATGTTTTCACAATTTCATTTTTTTATTGTGTAGGGTGGTTGGGACATGTGTTACGTATGCCCAAACACCGACTACCTCGTCGAGCTATGTTTTGCGATGTTAGAAAAGGTTGGAAGAAAGCTAGACGCGGAAAGACCAAAACATGGCAGCAATTCATGAAGTCACTGACAAGTGGACTGAGTCATGTTGGTAGATATAGGCTATCTGGTTGGGGTCCGCAAGACGATAGTAACCGATGGTTAGAGATTCTGAACGACCTGGCTAAATATAATTTGAAATGGCACAGGTGCATCCATTCTTTAAATAATATCCTTGAACCCTAATCTCTCCGATTAATGCTAATACTTTTACTGCTTCTACTACTATGGGATTTGGATTGACAATCCAATCTCTCTGTGCTAATGTGGTTTGGAAATTTGAACTGATTTACGTACATACGTACGAAGTTCTACACTGCTGTTGATTGATGGGTTGATTGTTATTGTGTGGTGTAATATTTATTTTAATGCTCCTTTTTAAAAATATGTTAGGATATTCACCAAATATCCTAAGAGTACTATTTTTAGAAGTGTAATCCCATTGGTCGATTTCTATTGGTCAAAATTATGGTCGTTTTAACTGTCAAAGTCAAATACTTCAATGTTGTCTCTGATTAGTCATCCGGACAGTCAATGTCATTTCAAGTGTCCTTTCCTATTGGTCGTCCTAAACTGCCAATGTCACAGACTTTGATGCTCTTTCCTATTCGACCTTAATGTATAAATACGCACTATCTGTAAGCCTTCATGATTCGGATTCCGATTCCGTTTCTTCCTGCCTACCTCTCTCTTCTGTTCTCGACCCAATAAACAACTCCATCCGACTGTGTTGCGTTCTGATATATAGGAGATTTGCAAATACCATTTTGGGTCGTATTGGGATATTTGAATTGGACGCCGTTAGGATTGAATAGTGATACGTAGCAGCATTATAACACAATAGTTATGTTTAAATGATAAATGATAATAAGACTATAAGGGGTACATATATGTATGCATAACTTACAGTTTTGTCAATAAGATTGTTGTCAAAATGTAACCTTCTCTTTGAGTAATAGTAGCCATTTTACCGACCATACCATAACCGAGTGAAAATAAAGCAGTTGCACTAAATGAATCAGCTTTTAAAAAAAAGAGATCACATAGAGTTAGTTAGTTTATGACTAGTTGACTATGCTTTACATACAAGATTATAAAATACTCTAGTAAACAGACAGACAGACAGATACAAAGCAAAACTTCGCACGTACGTACGTACATCAGTTCACGTTGCCATGCCCCATCAGCACAGAGACGCAACTGTCAGTTGAAATCCAAGAGTGATATAGCAATAATAGAAGTAATAGCAGTAATAGAGAAGATTAGGGAGTAAAGATATGATTCGAGCAGTATAATTCAGTAAGATAAATTTAGAAGGGGGGCGGCCAAACTCCAGTAAACGCTGGAATACAGTGAAGAAACAGATAACAGATATATGAAAGGATAAGAACTCTGACAATCACACAACAATTTCTCAATGTATTATCCTCCCATTTCGGAATATTGCTAATCAACACAGAAAAAAAAGCTAACATGATTTAAGAACAACTTAGAACGTAAGCAATTGGATTTCGTAGGTCACGTCTATGTCAGTTAAATGAGCACTTCAATTATGAAGTTTAATTCTTGCTTATAATATTAGAAATGACTTTAGTACTGGATGCGTTTAATTGTTCTGTTCTTAAGTTGTTCAATATTGAAAAATATAGAAATTGTTGTGGTCTAACTGTATGAAGTTGGGGGGAGGGTTGGTGGTAAACACGATGACCTTGCTATAAAACAACTGATCTAACCAGCTCTACCGAATTGTAAATATAAATTGACCACAAATCCAGATATTTGAAATCATCAATCATTGTTAGACCACCATTGGAAACCTGGAAGCACTGGACGGCCGTTTCGTCCTGATATGGGACTCATCAACAGTGCGTGTCCACGACTCCTGCACCTCGCAGGATTTAAACCCGGGACCTTCGGTATTGTGCGCGAACGCATGTCGGGTGTAGGCAGTAACTACCAAAGACAAATGGGTGAGGTCGCGCGAAATCCCTAGATCAATCAGAGTTAGACATTAACACCGTTGGATGCCAGCCCGGTGGTCCGATGGTTAGTCGTTCGCGCACAATACCGAAGGTCCCGGGTTCCAATCGTGCGAGGTGCAGGAGTCGTGGATGCGCACTGCCACTGATGAGTCCCATACCAGGACGAAACGGCCGTCCAGTGATTCCAGCCTTCTAATGACGGCCTAACAATGATTGATTGATGATTTCAAATGTGTGGAAACACAAACCTCCAAAACTCTGCCCGAAAAAATACAGATATGTTGTATAATTTACTTGTTCCAAAACGAATTTTTACAAATCGATTAGTGGTAAGCTCAATTCACATTTAAACGAAGCGATCATCTTGTACTAAAATCGTTCAGATTCATTAAACACACAATCCACTGTCTATCCATATGACTGGATACTTATTATCCTCATACATTACTCAATATTGCAACACCAAACAACTACATAGTAAACAAAACCAGTGGTCCAGATGTTAGGCGTTTGTGCGCACGACCGAAGGTCATGGATTCGAATCCTGCAAGTAGCAGGAGTCGTGGATGCGCACCAAGATGAAACGGCCATCTATTGCTTCCAGGTTTGTACTGTTGATGGTCTAACAATTATATTGATTGATGATTTCAATGTGCAAAAATACACTGGATCTCCATGACTCTAATTGAAAAAAAAACCTATATGACATGAGATCGACCTAAAAGACATTGTGCTTATCACGCGAATTGAAGGTTTTTTTCTTGGTACAATCATCTAATGTGTAGTGGCAAAGGGTCATGCAAAAGTTTTAAACTACTAGCAAACAAGATAACAGTCTAGATAATCTTGATTTCATAGTTTTTTGTGATAGTTGTTAACATACCACCTACCATACAGTAATTTTAATTTGATAAACTTACCTATCACTTTAAGTAAACCATCTATATACACTGGTAATTGATGTTTCAGTATAAAATTAAAAATAATACCAATTAATGTCATAAATATTAAAGGATTCTTGAGTACATTGAATAGAACCTAAATAATAGAAGAATAAAGAAAAAAAAAAGAAATCAGCCGATGTATATTTATATATACAGATAATAATAATAATAATAATAATAATAATAATAATAATAATAATAACTACAAAAAGAACAATAATGGTAATACTACTACTACTACTACTACTATTTATGCAGTACAAACAACTATATAATTCAAAAAGTTGCATTGACAACAGACTACTACTATGCATGCATCTGTATATATATATATATATATATATATATATATACATACACACTGATATGAACAGACTTGGTGGCATGAATTCAATTCAATTTTTCATTTTGTCAATGAATAATAGTGGAATTTCAACATTCAGCAAACCTGATCATAATGTTGTTGTAGGTGGTGGTGATGATGGTAGCGCTAAAAAGAAATCTAGGTTACGTAAATTGATTATTTCCAAAGTATTCTTTCTCATCGAGTAAGAAAGAGTTTTTACATATAGTGAGTGATACTTTAATCATAATCTTACTCCTTTTTTTAAAAAAATTATCGTTAATAATTATACTCTCTCTACTTCTATAGGATTTGAGCTGACAACTGAGTCTCTGTGTGCTAATGCGGTATGGGACGACCTGAGCTGATGTACGTACGTACGAAGTTCTACGTTGTAACTGACTGACTGAATCATAAAAAAGGGGTTTGTAGTTAATGGGAAGAGGATTCAATGTAGGCAGAGCGTTTCTGACGAGTTATATCCGAAAATTATTTCAATCATTCATAGAAATAGTGCGCCTAAATAAGCTTTAAGTTCTCTATTTGAGAAAATAATTACTACTGAACTATTTAATCAAAGTAGAACGAATTCACAGTTGTAATGTATGCTAAATTTTAACGATTACTGAACTGATATCAATAGGTGAGTGATTAACAAACCAGCAATAATATCTATCCATTTATATATAGGATAGATCATATTCAGAATGTCAAGAAATATTGTGCTATTCCAATCTTTGGCAATGGAAGAATTTACATTCACTTGACAAATTCATTCACACTTTTTGGTACCGTTACATTAATTTTCAGACACACACACACACACACACTAAAAAAACGTGATTGAAAGCTGAGTCCATCAATCAGTTACAACGTAGAATTTCGTACGTACGCACGTCAATTCCAGTTGTCATACCACGTTAGCACAGAGAGATCGGATTATCAATCCAAATCGCATAGTAGTATAGGCAGTAAAAGTATTAGAGTTAATAGAGACGTTTAGTGGTCGAATGTATGATTCGATAAGTACAACCCCGTGAAATCAATTTAAAAAGCAGAAAAAACGGTCAAGAGGAATTCAAAAGGTGAGGATGAGAGGGAACGCAAAGAATAAATGCATCTGCTCCATTGAAAACCATTTTAAACTATGTCATTCTAACTGTCTAACCATCGGGTACTATCGTCTCGCGAACCCCAACCCGGTAGTATACACCTACCAACGTGACTCAAGGCTTTATGGATTCGTGCGACCTTTTGGTTTGACCACTCCTAGCTTTCTTCCAGCCTACCTCTATACCAAAAAACAACGCTCAACGAGGCAGTCGGTGGTTGGGCATACGCAACACATGTCCTAACTACCTCAACTGATGAAGTTTAATTTCGCCATCTATTGATCTGCCATCCTTACCTAGGACCCGTTTCTTAACAACAGTATTGCTGACTCGGTTGTCCCTTGATACGCGAACAATGCTTTGGAGACACCTATGATCGAAAACATGTAACCTATGAATATCTTCTACTCTTAGTGACCATGGTTCAGAGCCATTAAGGGAGACGAAGCCAAGTGCTGAGCAGTAGACTCGTCCTTTGGTTAGCAGACGGATATCCCGCCTACGCGATAAGTGGAGCAAGTTGGCAAAATCCGATCGAGCCTTGAATATCTGCTGAGCACTTAAACCTGTAGCATTTAGTCTTCTGGTTACCTAATATTCATGGGATTTAATTTTAGCAGTTAGATAATGTCTTTCGTCTGTAATTATACAAAGTCAAACCTTAATATTTGATAACATATGCATCTGTATTTAGATAATTGAGTATAATCACAGGTTGTTTCTAATGTTTATTATGCTTGGTAATTAAAAGCGATTTAAGTTTTATTCTACCCAATACTTGTTAGCAAGTAGTAGTAGTAGTTTAATCTTTGGAGGAAATGATTCCCTGTTTGCCATCCAATGTTTAAGTGACAAACAGTTCTTTTCAGTCACAATGTGCCTTAGGCAAAACTAAGATGCTTACATACCTTTGGTAATTACATCGATTATCAAACTATTTCGTGTTGAGCAGTCTTTAGTATTGGTTGAATTCTAACGCATTTTAGCCACTAGTCTTCATGATTTGACATAACTTACATAATACATCTTTGCCTAGATATTATTTTCGTTGGATATTTATAGATGATTCGTGATAATATACCTGGTAGATGGGATGGGATTCGAATAGATGAGGTAGTGATTGACAAAGTCAAACTCTTCAACTACAATGATTCAGTCAGATACAACACAGAACTTCGTATGTAAGTACATCAGTTCAGGTTGCCATGTGGTGCGAGCTACTTATAAGTAGTATATGACGTGAGTGTCAACGTAATGTCTGGCAGCATAATATGGGGGAAGATCAAGAAAGGAAGAATTAAAAGAACACAATGGAATTTGTATGAAACGCATCATGAATAGTGACAATGGATTGATGTTTTGGCAACAGGAACAGTCCAGTTCGATATGATGATGGACTGATATTTTGCAAATGAACGATTTACGATATGGTTTTCCGATTTTACTGAGTAACTCTGTAATTTCCGTAAATACAATCCGGCTGCCCCACCTGTGTTCTCGTTCACTACAGCCATACCACATCAGCACAGTCTACAATGATTCTGACTGGACATATATAGCTGAATAACAAAAAAAAATGCGTTAATCTCAGTAGTGAAAAGTCTTACCTGACTTAATTGCCGGCATTGACCACATGATGATGGTGATGATGATGATGATGCTGTAGTCGAGTTTTTACCATTCACTAATTGTCTTTTATCATAATCATCATCTTCGCTATGAATTAACGGTTTCAATTCATTATTGGTTCTTTTGAATCGTTCCAATTCCAATAGAAAATAGGCGAATGGATTAAGAACAATCAATTGGATCGGTGCAAATAGATAAACATAACTAGCCAAATCAGGGAAAAGAGCATAGACTAAAAAAAGTTAAAAAAAAAAGTGGGAAGGGAAGAGAAGAGAAACATAAAGGAGGTTACATGATGATTAAAACACGACAGTATAATGTAATTGACTAGTACAAGGAAATTTTGATCTAGGACAGGTCTGAACCAACATTAAAATAGGTCATGGATAGTGTGTGTGTGTGTGCGTGTGTGTAAAATAGTACATTTTTATTTCATTTATTCTAGGAGTGTTCCATCTTCTTAAATAGATTAATGACAGGTAAAATCTCAACACGAGTACATAACCAACTTGCGCTACCTGTAGCATAAGCCAGACATTTGTATGTCTGTTAAACAGTGAATATACTGTACAGTATATCCTTATATTCTACTTAGTTTCTATGATATGCATAGTTACCATTATTCGGTCATAAATATCTTGCAATCATTGACGATACATGACAGGACAATCAGGTGAGTAACACTGACGAGATTAAACGTAACGTTACCAGTAAATAATCCAAATTAATTTACGAAACTAGAAAGGAATTCAGTGACTGGTTTGGCAAAAATATAAGTTATGAATGCCCGACCACGCCTTACTATAATTCTGAAGTAGGAACAAGTTGAACAAGAATCGCGGAACATCAAACCAAGACGTGGTACCAGTGTCTATGAAATCACTAAATGTTGATATGAGCTGTGTTTGTTTGAAGGTGTAGATTACCTTGATGATTGGGGTTCGCATGATGATCTTGATCGATGATTGAAGGCTACAGATGACATAACTCAAAGTCAATCTCAGTGGCAAAGATGTACTCATCCTTTACCCTTTTTTAGATAATCAGCTTTAATATTATTTCTAGATCTTTTATTTTTTTTCCTTTCAGACCATACTCTACAGTTGGTTCGTCTTACTAAGAATGATAATACTAGTGTTTTAATTCTTCTGCTATTTGTCTTGATAATTTTATCCCACTATTGACTATCGTCGGGGTCCGCGAGACGATAGTCACCGGTGGTTAGAGACCTTAAACGTCATGGCTCAGAATCGTTTGCCATGGCGCAGATGCATCCACTCCTTGTGTTCAATGAAATTCTAACCTTCTGAATTCCTCATAATCTCTACCTTTCTCCTTCTAAATTTATCTTACTGAATTATACACTTCTCGAATCATACCTTCGCTCCGTAATCTTCTCCATTACTGCTAATACTTCTATTATTGCTATCACTGTTGGAGTTGAACTGACAGTTGCGTCTCTGTGCTGATGGGGCATGGCAACCTGAACTGATATACTTATGTACGAAGTTCTGTGTTGTATCTGTCTGTCTTTATCCCACTAAGTTGATGTGGTATTATGATTGAGATCGGGGCATATCTGTGCCATTGTTTCATATTGATTAAGATTGGCTGAATGCAATCATTAACAGATTGTATGATAAGGTCACTTGTTTGCAAAGATTTCTCGATTATGTATAATACAGAGAAGTTTTTGTTTGATTATGCAGAGAAACAATCTTACAAACAACAACTAATATGACATTAAAACTTTAGTGTTTGTATATGTCATGTGTTTAGATGAGATTTAAAATATGAGTGATTTATTACTATCGACTATTGATGTTTCTTTCATAGGATTCTGTAACCTCTAACATTCGTGACTATGGTTCACCACATAGATGAAGGTCAGTCAGTCAGTGAGTTGCGTCCAATGTTGAGGCGACTTTGAAGGTCGCCAGGTCAAAAGATGTTTTTCCTTATGCTTAAAATTAGTGTCTGTTAGAAATAGGCGGTTATCTGAGCACAGTTGCAACAGACGGTCGCCATTGTATGTTCTGTGAGCCGCGACACCATAACATCAATCCCGGTGTCTTTCCTGCTCACTTAGTCTGCCTACTTGAGCATTAAAGTCACCAGCCATTATAACTATATCAGAGTGATTAACGTTTTGGAGGAGGTCCGAAAGCTTCCTGTAAAACTCATCTTTTACATCGTCTGGACTGCAGTCAGGGGGGGGCGTAGGCTGATATGACGAAGAGGCAACGATGAGTGTCCCTATCCTTTCGAATCCTTACTGTCCTGTTTAGTTGGACAGGCGCACAACCGACTATCTAATGGGATCCAGTCAAGGAGAGACTGTTCTGCCCTACGACTCAATGCTATGCCTACGCCAGCGAGACCCCTGGAAGCAGCATCAGGGCTACCGGATACACGAAGAGTAGATCGAGTTGATTCTTTATCTTGACATGGTGAGGTCAAGTGAATGATGCTACTCGGATCCTGTTTGCGCGTTTTCGAGACGCAGCACACATCGATGGCACGAAATTCTAAAGTTCTTGCTAATGATGCCTGTTGCCCTATTTGACACAATGTCCTTACATTAAGTGCTCCAACATGTAGTCTAGAGCGGGGTTTCAGGAGACCAGAAATGTCGATTCGTGAACTCGCATCATTTTTGTTAGCTGTGCAGTGTGATGAAGGAATGTGAGAAGAGTTAGTCGTGGAGGTAAGAGAGATATTACGGGGTGTAGTAAGGATCTGATTTCGAACAATTTGGTCTCGTGTGTTGTTACGGGTATGAGGGGGGTTGTCACTTCCCGGCTGCCCACACCGTGGAAGCAATGTTGACTATAATGTCATTTGAGAGCGGTTAAGCGTTTTCTGCGATATAACCAGAGCATCCTCAATGGCAACCTTCTTAAAAATGAAAGGATTAATTTGAAGAAAAAAAAACACAGCTTCCATACCAGAAAAAAAGAGTCATATTTTACAGAGTTTTGGTGATGATGAAGTTTAAAGTATAAAGCGAATATAGGGAACATAAAAAGATAACGTGTGAACAGCTTCTAGTAATTATATTTCCACTCACAGGTAGACAATACCGTACAGATAATTTTTGTACGTTTTTTTTTTAAAAAAAAAGATATACTTTCAAAATGCAGCTGGAACGGTGACTTCCTGGTTGTTCCCTGTGCCGAGGCACGATGTGCCAGCAAGATTAATGGTAATTCTTTCTCCCAGTCACCCCCTTTAGATGCTAGCCATTCCTTTAGCGTTCGGTTATTCCTTTCCGTTCCGTTAACCCATTCGTCTGTGGATGATACGGCGTTGTTCGTACTCTCTTGATACCTAACTGTTTTAGACGGGACTTGAACTCATCACTCTCGAAACAGGGACCTTGATCGGTTAATATGATCTTTGGTATTCCATGGTCCGCCACAATGTGCCGCATTACCGCTTCCGTCACCGTCCTTGCACGTTGGTCCGCCATCGGCACGGCATTTACCCATCGTGTGGCATGCTCAGTAAACGCCTAGCAGGTACTGGTTACCACTTGTCGTCTGCGGGAACGGTCCCATAACATCTACTGACCACAAATCACCAACTGCTGTTACTGGAATTGACTGCAATGGCGGTCGTATGCATCGACCCCCTTTCATTAGTTGACATCGCTGGCACGCTAACACATATCGTGCAACATCGTCTCTCATACCTGGCCAGTACGCACTTTGTCGCAGCAAATCAGTTGTCCGTACAATACCTGTGTGCGCTACCTGGTGACATTCACGAATCATCTCCTGGCGCAGATCTTTTGGGATTATTGCCACCCGATTCTCGTCATCATCCCGCCAGGTCAAGGCTCCGGCGGATAGGCAGGACACGCTGCAGAAGTTCCGAGAGGCGCCAATAACAGTGCCCCCGACTCCCCATCCATACTCGGCAGCGCACGGCGCAGCAACATCGTGAGCTCTACAGCCAGCAGCAACGGGTCACCGTCAGCCGACAGCCTCGCCAACCGGAACCTCTGCGGCGCCTCCTCCCTGTCCACCGGGCCGTCGAACTCCGTCATCAGCCGCCCGGTGACCGTCTCCCACGCCGTCTTCCCGGCGGCACCGTCCAGGCTGTCGTATACCGCCTTCGCCTCACCTCCCCGCAGCGTCCCCAGCACCGCCAACTCCGCCTCGGGCCCCTTCACACCCACCAGCTCCACCGCGGCCTCAAACTCCTCAAGGAAGCTCCGCAAATCTCCGTCCTCCAACTCCTTCGGCCACGAGAGCTCCTTCCTTCGAGCAGGTAGACAATACCACACAGATAATTTTTGTACATTTTTTTTAAAAAAAAAGATCTACTTTCAAAATGCAGACAACCGGAGAATTTTAAAACGCCCAAATACATACAAAAAAAACGATTGACACAATAATTTTGGTTTATAATCCAAATATACGAATGTAAACACATTTGTTTATATGAATGACTTATTTTTCTTTTTGTGACTAAAAGCATGCATGTTTTTGAAATAATTTTAAAGCTAAACGAGTACATGACAGCGAAATCTGTCCTCAATGAAACATTTTTTAAAGGCATGTTTTCGTTTCAATGATCAATGAAAAAAAGATTACTTTTTTTTAAAAAAAGAAAAAAATAACAAACTCACGTATAGGATAAGCTAATGCAACATCATTTGTTTGAGATACAAACATGGCAACGATAGCAGCAATGCCTAGATGAAAACGTCGACTAATTAGGAAAGTGAACACGATTGCCATTACAAAACCAATCAATTTACTGGTAGATACAGCCACAACAAAATACCAAGAGACACCAGAAAAATTAATTGTCACCATGGCCTAGAATAAATTATTAATAATAAATTTTTTTTTCAGACAAAGAAAAAAAACTAGATGCAAAAAATAGATGTCGAAGACAATCAATCGACTGATTTTTAAATTATTCACAATGTAAAACATGACTGAGATAGTAGAGTATCATGTTGCGTATATCACAAAATGTGTATGATCCAGTGTTTATGGAGCGAGTTATTCTTAATTTAATCTGAGATTTGTATGGGTGCTGTTACACTGTTTACATTTTTAACATGGCTCAGGTTAACAGTCGACGACATCATGGACTGATGCCATATTTTGGTTTGGCCAATCTTAGACTTTTTATAACCTTGTTCTTCATTAGCAAGTATTGGTTGTCAAGTTTGTCAATAGCTAAGTGCAGGTAACATGCGTTTCAACCACTTCATTCAATGAAGATTTAGAATTTTATCAATTAATTTGTCATCTTTCTCAAGTATTCTATGCCTAGCCTCTATATTGTATACTCGACTGTTCAACGAAACACGAGCGATGGGCCCTAGCTTGTCATCTAGCAGTAAAATTTAATAATAGGATATAACAGAATGCCTGACAATAGCAGCTACCTTGAAGTGGTGGTCGGACTTGCCTACCGTGATGACCCAACTGAGATATTTTGGCTGGAACACATTATCCTGTAGGTTCTACCATACCACGCAGGTCGATTGAAGAAAGATGAAACTAAAAGCAGATACTCAAGGTCTGAGGGCGATTTCCTACTGCTGACTGTACAGAGGTGTGACAGCAGTTAGGTGATTCCTTCGCACAACTAGCATCTGCAGCGATGCTGCCATCTCACTAGGAAGGAAGTGGTTAGAAAAGGTCAACCCTAAAACTGTCACACCTTATCCTTCATCACGGATTTTCGTCTCCGGAGGTAAGGCCTTTTAAAAGAGAACGGAGCTGATACTTTAAATACTACCTATAAAAAGAGGCCGTGCATGGTCTGCCTCAAGCAGTTGTCACTCGGGCTCTGCGGTCACGCTCCCAGGTCTCTACGACCAACACTAATCTACCTTCCTTTCCGGGTTCTTCAAGAAACACCCTCCCACGGTGTGAGCAGCCGGGAAGTGAAATCCGCCATCATACCCGTAACAACACACGAGACCGAATTGGTCACAATCAAATCCTTCCTACACTTCTACTATCTCTACCGCTATGGGATTTGAATTGAAAATTGCTTCTCTGTGCTAATGTGGTATGGCAACTTGAACTGATGTACTTATGTAAGAAGTTCTACGTTGTAACTGACTGAATGGCCGACAATAACAGAATGTAAAAAACGGCTTTTTTGGACGCTAAGTTGCAACCATAGGTCTCAAATCATATTTCCTTCATTCTTTTGTTTTTACTCTCCGACATTCATCCTGTAACTTTTTACAACTATTTTGAATGCATTTAAACTTATATTTAACAGCTAATCTTTGGTGTCTGGTTTTTGTTTTCCTCGCTAAAAGTAAATTTCCAATGTATAATGTGCATTTGGATAAAGCCTTTACATTTTATTAAACTACATAGGAGTATAAATAAGGCTACACAGCATGAAAAGCGTCATTAATAAAACGAAATCTTCTTCACAAAATACCTATTTCCCTACTTATAGAAAAGAGGAATATATTTTGGCTACGTAAACACACAAATTCACCAGCAGTGGAATGATATCACGGTGTTCTGATGTATCATTCAAAGCTATTTAAGTTACGATAAAACAACACTACAAAGAAACTATACAGTGAAGGGGCACAAAGATAAATCATGATAATCTTGATCTGGAACAGTCAGTCAGTTGCAACGTAGAACTTCGTACGTAAGTGCATCAGTTCATGTTGCCATACCACATTAGTCAGTCAGTTGCAACGTAGAACTTCGTACGTATGTACATAAGTTCATGTTGCCACAATGATGTAACTGTCAGTTCAAATCCCATAGTAGTAGAGCTAGTACAAGTATAAGCAATAATCGAAAAGACTAGGGTTTGAAGATATTATTCAATAAGTATAATTCAGTGAGACAAATTTAGAAAGAGATAGACGTGATGAGGCAGTCGGAAGATTGGGATTTCATAGAATTTAAAGAGTGAATGCACCTGCGCCAATGCAAATGATTTTGAGCCAAGTCGTTCAAGGTCTCTAACCACTAAATACTATCTTCTAGCCGACCCCAACCAGGTAATGTACATCTACCAACATGACTTAGTCCACATGTCAGCGACGTCATGGATTTGTGCCGTGTTTTGGTTTTTCCGCCCCTAGGATTCTTCCAACCTACTCCTACACCATAAAACAGCTCGTTGAGGCAGTCGGTGGTTAACCATACGTAACACATGTCCCAACGACCCCAAATGATAAAGTTTCAGTTTGGTCTCATGTAATGTTACGGGTATGAGGGTGGATGTCACTTCCCGGCTGCTCACACCGTGGGAGGGTGTTTCTTGAAGAACCCGGAAAGGAAGGTAGATTAGTGTTGGTCGTAGAGACCTGGGAGCGTGATCGCAGAGCCCAAGCGACAACTGCTTGAGGCAGACCATGCACGACCTTTTTATAGGTAGTATTTAAAGTATCAAATCCGTTCTCTTTTAAAAGGCCTTACCTCCGGAGACGAAAATCCGTGAGGAAGGATAAGGTGTGACAGTTTTAGGGTTGACCTTTTCTAACTACTTGCTTCCTTGTGAGATGGCAGCATCGCTGCAGATTCTGGTTGTCCGAAGGAATCACCTTACTGCTGTCACACCTCTGTACAGTCAGCAGTAGGAAATCGCCCTCAGACCTTGAGTATCTGCTTTTAGTTTCATCGTTCTTCAATCGACCTGCGTGGTATGGTAGAACCTACAGGATAATGTGTTCCAGCCAAAATATCTCAGTTGGGTCATCACGGTAGGCAAGTCCGACCACCACTTCAGGTAGCAGCTACAGTCAGGATGTAGCTAAAGAGGGAGGAGCCTAATCAGTCAGTCAGTTGCAGCGTAGAACTTCTTACGTACGTGCATCAATTTAAGTTACCATACCACATTAACACAATGATGTAACTGTCAGTTGAAACTTCATGGTAGTAAAGGTTGTAACGGTATGAGTGGTAATTAGGAAGATTAATGATCGAAGATATGATTCGAGAAGTACAATCCTGTGAAATCAATTTACCAGGGGAAAAAAGGCCATGATGAATAAGAAGACTAGAATTCGAAAGAAGACAAAGAATCGATGCATCTGAGCCATTGCAAACGGTTTTGAACCATGTTAATAAAGTCTCTAACCATCAATTACTATTGTCTCACGGACGCCAATTAGGTAGTCTACACCTATTTACATGGCTCAGTCCAGAGCGGAAATAACATGAAAAACTCCATATAAAAAGGTCGTGTGCGGTCAGCCTCCAGCAGTTGTCCGTCAGGCTCAGCAGTCACGCTTCTAAGTCGCCAATCTAAATCCTTTTCCAGGTCCCTCAAGAAATATCGTTTCACAGTGTGGGCAACTAGGAAGTGACATCTACCCTGATACCCTTTACAGAATACGAAGAGCGGAATATAATGAAGTCATCATGCTTTGCACTGTCGTTCTGTTCAGTTGGAATTTGTGGAGATGGACCCCAATAAACATGACTATTCACATGGAAAATTTTGTATATCTTATTTCGCATTTAGTATCAACAGATTCCGTATAACAAGCGGTACGCCAAGATACAGAATCAGAAACGGCTACCAATATCGCACTGGAAACCGTACAGTTTGAGCGGTGTGAATGTAACCTATTTATGATGTAAAGAATCGCTAATGTATGAATACAAAATGTGACTAAATTGGCAGAAATGGGAATCATCTACGTGTTTTCTGGAAACGTTTTGTCCATAAAACTTTTAAAAGTACCGAATAATGCACTGAACAAAAACAGCTAATGTTATACATTCATTAAAAAAAAATCAAAACAACTACAATGCCAAAGGTCCCGGGTTCGAATCCTGCGAGGAGCAGGAGTCGTGGATGCGCACTACTGAGGAGTCCCATACTAGGACGAAACGGCCGTCCAGTGCTTCTTCCAGGTTTCTAATGGTGGTCTAACAATGATGATTGATTAATGATTTCAAATGTATAAAAACATTTTGTTTGAAACGATGCTTCAAATTATGTTAATTATATTTGTGTATGTACTAGGAAAACGATTGAGACAGTGAACTGTTGTTTAAGTTCAGTAATACGAGTAGTATTTTCGACAAACTGTAAGCATTTTATGTTAGCTTGTCGATTATGACACTAATGACACAAATGAACAGCATGTCTGTCTAAGAATCAAAAAATATATGCTACGCCAGCTTGCGCCACTTGTGGCATAGGCGAGATATCCGTCTACTAACCGCAGAACCAGTCTACTACGCATCAGTTCGCCTCGTCTTAATTTATGGCTGCAAAAAATGGCCAATAAGAGTAGAAGATATTCTTAGGTTACAGGTTTTCGATCATAGGTGTCTCCGAAGCATTGCTCGCCATTGACATGACTCAAAACCGTTTGCAACGGCGCAGGTGCATTGATTCTTTGTATTCTCTCAAATTCAAAACTTTTTAATTTCTCATAACTTTATCTTTTGCTTTTTAAGTTTATTTCACTAGATTCTACTTCTTGAACAATATCCTCGAACCTTAATTTCTCCGATTACTGCTAATAACTTTACTACCTCTACTACTACGGGATTTGAATTGGAAATTACATCTCTGCTAATATGGTATGGCAACATGAACTGAACGAAGTTCTACGTTGCTATTGATTGATTGATCGACTGCTCGTATATCCTGGGAAAACCGAGTAAGCAATGCTAATGTTAGGAAAAGGGTATCAGCTAAGGATGGCAGATCAATAGATGAAGTGTTGAAACTTTATCATTTGAGGTAGTTGGGACATGTGCTACGTATGCCTAACCACTCAATGACTGGACGAGAAATTTTTTCTGATGTAGGGGTAGGCTGGAAGAAAGCTAGGAGCGGTCAAACCAAAAGGTTGCACGAATTCATGAAGTTACTGAAAACTGGACTGATTCATGTTGGTC